ATGGACAGCTGCTCCATTTAAAGTCAGCCCTTCTTGGCAGGGAATATGCTTGTTCTTCAAATTGGGGGAGAGAGGAGAGGTTTTCTTTTCAATACACATTGCAGGGGTTGATTTAACTTGATCAGCACTTTTGTTCTGCGGCAGCAATTTGTGTCGAGTTTCAACCTATTTTGAGGTTTTCTTTCTTTTATTTTTTTTTAATCTAAAAGCAAATGGCTAAAAAATAAAATCAAGGCAGCTCATATGGAATTCTAAGGAAGAATGGAACATGAAACAAAAATGTATCTGAAATAACTGTATTCTTTTATAAAATGATGAAGCTATCCACATTTTTGAAAGTTAAAATTTACTTAAATTGAACTGTAACATCTGAAGCCTTAATATATAATAAGAAATCAGTCAGAAGACCTGTCATAGCCTATTTCTGAACAACAAAAACATTGCTAAGCTTCGAAGTGTTATGACTCCAATCTATTTAATAGATTATGAGTTGATCTGTATCCCTTTATCCCACCATCTACATGTGAAATCTTTCCACAGGCTCAAAAGTAAACTAGGTACTGAGACCAAATGATTAGTATATCTGAGGACCCTCCAGACCTAGAATGACCTAGGATAGCACTGGATTACTCAAAACCAATCTTGATCTGTGCTTGTACCACTAAAGCTGGGTCTGAACCAAAGTAAGTCTCTCAGGATAAAAGATACAGGTTTATAATACAGTTTGCCTGACTTTCATACTGCAAACAAATTATTTGGGAGGGAGGGATTACCGTATTCTGAAGTAATGTGAGATCAAACTGCTTGTTCCATACCCACAAAAGGATTCTAATCCCCACTTGTTAAAATTAAACACCTAATTTTTAAGTATAGTTAACAGGCATGTTCAAAACTAAAAAAATTTAAATTTATGGTATTTGTTCTAAGTTGGAAAGTTTATGAAATAATTTTCTATATAACTAATGGACAAAATCCATATTAATTTATTAAGTGCTGTTTCAGTGAACGTTAAGGTTAAGTGAATACCATCTACATTACTTATTGGTTTTATTTTTGTTTGTATATGTGTGTTTTTTAAACTTCTCAGGCTATGAGGTTCTTTTTGGTTAGAAACATTTCTTCCATGTTAAAACTATCCTTGTAATTACATCTTCTATATAGAGCAAAATATCCATTGATAGGGTGGCAGTGTAGATTAGTAAAAAGAATCTAAAGCTAATTCTGCTACTGGTTTCCCGATTTGTAAAATGATAATACTATCTGTCCTACTTACGGCATGTGTTAACATAACAAAGTAAAAATCATGAAATTATTATGCCATATGAAATACTCAAAAATTTAAGAAATCAGAGAAAGGGACTATGTTACCTGAACTGTTATTTTTAAAAAGAGTGGGGAGTATTCAACAATGCATGGGATACCAAATCAATATCAAGAGGGTCCAGTCTTCCCGGCAAAGATTTTACAAATACTTAAGTGTTGACATGTAAGTAACGACTTCTTTCAAAAAGCCTCAACACTGGCTTTTAGCAAATGTGAATTCCCTTACCCTTTTCCATTCCACTACTACTGAATCAGTTCCACATTTCTGCCTGGCCTCCAGAACTAAGTGCCCCTAAGATCCTCCTTCCACAAAAAGAAACTGCTCCCTGAAGGTACCTTGTCAGCTTTTTTCGACCTGATAGAAGCCCATCCCTGATCTGATCAGTGCTGTCATTATCCTCTTTAATGTAATGTCAGGGCCCACTTTATCCTCTCCTAGGAGTTTTCCCCTCTCCCCTCTTCTCGACTACAAGGCATATCATCACCACAGACTTGGAGATTCTAAAGTTCCCACTTTCTGACAATTTCTAGTTAGGGGATCCAAGAGAAGTTACTTCTGCTGATACTGTGCTTACCATAGATGAAATTGTCTTTCTGCATCCCAAATTTAGAATCTTGCATTTGTACTGTTCTTACTCTGTGTTAGATTCAGTGTTGGAAATTCACAGAACATGATTCTGCTTCAGTGAAGTAATAAGGAAATAAGATGAACGTTCATATATAATTTAATGGAGAAATTAACAAGCAACAGATAATGGGGAGGTTCTATTAACATTACTGGTATTATCTTTCAACCATAAGGCTTTTTACCAGCTAACACTGAGACCTAAGCATTTTAATATACTGTTTCTAGACAAAAAATATACGTTTTTGTTAGGCCCTACAGTTCTTTTCTTTGACTGTTCTAACAGACTCCTAGATAGACAGCCTTCTAAACAGATGTTTATATTTCCTCTAATCTTCCACAGGATCTAATTTGCATTCTTCAACTTCAATTCTAATATTAAGAAATAAGCACAAATTGACCTTTTCTTAAATGCTCATTTTACGTGCCTTACACATTTAAGTGTGTTAAATTTTACATTTAATAGCTTCATTTTAATAAACAACCTGGAATACAATGTACCAGTTGGACAAAACAAATTAGAAGAACACTCAGCAACATGGCCAGATCTTAGGAAAAAATAAGACAGAGGAGGGTGGAGGGGACTATAAGAATTAGATTAAGACCTAATGTATAATTAAAACACAGGCACATAAAATAATAAAACCTTTTGTAAGATATAAACAAAACGATACACACCAAACACATTTAAAGGTCATTTGTATAGGGACTAGTTATAAAAGAAAATGGAAGAACAGTCCTTTAATGAACCAGTGATAAATGGGTATGACACAAACTGAGGAATATCATTAACTCAATACTCCTGTACTTGAGGTTAAAAACTGGTACTTCAATATTGGAGAAGATAATCATGTGACTGCTTAGATACCTGGCCTTTCTCCCGTCTATGGAATTCTTACTGCTTTATTTAAATCCATGGTTGTCTGTGGGTCCTTATTATCACCCTGACACTTCAGGCCATGTTCCCATTTGAGTATAGTAGTATTTTGTAAGGATTACTTTTTCTTCAACTCTCAGCTTGATACTTTTCTTTTTAAATGGCACTCCAAAACAAGGTACAATAGCTAGTATAAAAAGATGCAAATTTTTGTGCATTTTAAATTCTGCATGCATTTAATTACATTGTGTCTCATAAGCAGCAACATGTTTTGAGATACAATTTTGGACTAGTTAACATGAAATTCTCTGCATTTCTTTACTCCTCTTTGTCTTTGAACTGTCAATAGTGGATACCAGAAGTTAAACCTGTATTACACAAGAGCTAGAGCTAGAGCTAGAGCTGTTACCACCTCACAGTCCAAAGGGTAAAGGGAAGTGTGGCTACTGGGACCTAGAAGAATAGTGGCAGGAGAGGGCCTCTTGACAGAGGCAAAAACAACAACAACAAACTGGTACTTCAGACAAAGCCATCCTCCTTCATAACAAACAAAGCTGTCCCAAATTTTAAACAGTAATTTTTAAAATTGTGATAAAATATACATAACATAAAATTTACCATTTCAGCCATTTTTAAGTGTAGGGTTAACAATAATTTAAGTTGTCATTGTCCCTTTAATACCTTTAACTGTGTAGCAGGGTAATACTATATAAAGGTGAATAATCTTTTTTAGATTATTTTCTACTCTAAAAAAATTATGAAAGCACCTGGTATGTACAAAAATATATATTTATTGAACAGGTACAGGGGAACCCTAAGGGTACAGACAATATAATTCATCATCATTGTATGATACATTGTACTGATGTCTGAGATTTACATTTTATTTGCCAAAAGAACAGTGACAACGATGTAACAGATCAAGTTCACTAAGATTAAATTTTTTGAAGTTTTTGTTTTTACTTTAAGCATTGTGGTCCAGGAAAAGAAGGATCTGGATTTCTCCTGAAGTAATGCCTTTGAGTAGTGCCCTGGAAGATCAGATAGTGCTATACACAGGTTCTAGGATCCCCTCCCTTAACCCCCTGTTAAGTAGAAGAAAAAAATAGGGCAAAAGAGTTTCACAAGAAACTTGTAAATGAACACTTGGAAATTTGCTCTCCCTTCCTATCAGCTAGTGGGTCCCCTTTATTTTAACACTTTATTTTCAGTTATCAGGATAAAAACTGACTTGATTAACTAAATCTGTGGCAGTTTCAAAAGCAGGTGGAAAAATTGTGTTTGAGGGTGAATGTTACCCTCAGGACATAGGATACTGAAAAAGGAGAAAAAATGAGAAAGTTATTGATCTGAATAATTCACTTTATAAACATTTCCAGTTGACAGATTGAATTACTCTGCAAGGACCACTACTACCTATGCCAAAAGTTCCTGAGAAAACTTAACCAAAGTATGCTCTTAATGCTGCCAAGCAATTGATTTTAAGTATCTGGCATAGGGTAGGCACACTGATAAGGAAATTTTACTATCTACTCACTTGAACATTTCATCCTTCAGAAGTCTAAAGAGAATAATAATGTACATCAATGATGATTTAAAATCCATTGTCAAGGTGATCATTCAGGATTTTTTTCTTTAATACTACCTGTCACTCAATCTTTTATTATCTAGCTGGTAGGAAGCATTCCACTTTTTAAACTAAATATAGGAGCTACCCAATTTCCATAGGTGGAAGCATTGCTAAATAATCTCCTTTAACTTAAAGCCTCTAAGAGAGCTTCTATAAACCCACTACTCCCTAATGTCACTTAGATAGTACTATCCATTGAAGTAAAAGGTAAATGGGCCCCAATGAAAGAAAGGAACTTTTTTCTCAAAATGGACAAACTCACTCCTAAGGATTCTAGGAATAAGCTGTGACTATGAAAAGCAGTATTTGAGTTTCAAGGTGACTACTTTAATCACACCCTTTTAATCCTAACTTCAAATAAGATGACTTGTGTCTTGCTAGCAAATTCTGAGGTAGTAAAGGAATAGCTAAAAAATTGTGAGAATCTTGTAATAATCCAGAAAAGATATGAAATAAGGGAAAAGGATAAAAAGAAAAAAAAAGCCAGAGCAATTAAGCCTATATTCAACCATATTTGTTTTATTACTATATTAACAATGTCTTACCTTGTGGAATTCTCTTCTGAGAAAAATAGATACAATTTTGTCCCTAAAAAAATTTCAGGTAGAAAAGTTGAAATGTTAGTTTCAAATAGAAAGTCTTTTGAAAATGAAAAGTTACAAAATGCTAGCATAGTACATTTAGATTATTATGACATTTGGTATTAACAAAGCGTAAGAAATATTAAGTCTCAAATAATAAAAGTACGTTATTATCTTCATTAAAATATTTATTATAAAATTTATTATTGTATTATAAAAATACTCTACTATCAAATCATTTTTGCTAAGTACATAATAATGAGTGGCACATTTACATATTCTAAGACATTAGTACTTAATTGGGTTTTACTCTTGCCAAGATTTGATATTCTGAAGGGTACCTTATCTTTTAGCTATTCTACATGTCATAAAAGTCATCCCTTTAAAGTGTAAAATTCAGTTACACAACCATCACCACCACCTAATTCTAGAACATTTTCATCACTCCAATAAGAAACACTGTTCTGAAGGGTATTTTTATTCCCAGGAAGAAACATCTTAACAAATTTAATTTTAAAAGATATACAAGAAGCATACTCTTTACAACACTAGGATCATAATTTGTTTTTTTTTTAAATGTATAGAACAAAGACCAGAAGGGAAAACAAATATCCAAAAATTATAAGAGTGGCTGTATTTGGAGAGCATTATTATAGTGACTCTTTTTCATATATTTCCTCAAAACTAAAATTTTATAATATTAACTTTATAGTTCTTTAAAAAAGTGAAGCAAAAACATACATTTTCTAGAGATATATGCTAGAATTTGTTCTACAGCCCAAAGGAAAAACAGAAATACAAGTTGACACTTTTTTAAAAGTCCACTACATTTTTTATTAAATGTTTTTCAAAGTAGATAAAGTAAGTATAAAGTTAAAAAAAAAAATTTGGCCACACTTACTAATCTGGTTGAAAAGCCACAGCTGCATCTTACTTTATGACAAATTGACTGTTTCATTACTTTGGCATCTGGGCGTCTACTTCTTAATGGTCATTTCTGAAATAAAGATATAATTAAGAACATATTATAACAAAAATATAAAATCTTTAAGGACAATTATCTAAATATTAGTGACTAGAGGGAACTATCAAAACAGTTCTTAAGCAACCTTCTAATAAAAAACATTAACTGGGCTGAGAATGAGGTGGGAGGGACCAGAATTATACAGTTATGCTACACATTCTCAGTATAAAAATCTACAACCGCTTCAGTCCTCAATCCCTTTCACCCATCAGACTCTTGCAATTCCTACGGATGCCACTTACAGACCGGAAAAAGAGGAAAGGAAGATGTAGAAAAGGAACCCTAAAATTGCACATTTGGCTTTTTGTTTTTGTTTTTTGTTTTTCTGGCTGCACCGTGCAGCTTTCGGGATCTTAGTTCCCCAACCAGGGATGGAACCCAGGCCCAGGTAGCGAAAGCGCCGGGTCCTAACCACTGGACTGACAGGGAATTCCCTAAAATTGCACATTAGAAAACAGTAAGTTAATTGCTTATTTATTATGCTTGTCTGTTTCTCCCTCACATCTATAAGAAATCTAAGCTCCAAAGGAGATTTTTTTGTCTTATTTGCTGGTATCTCTCAAGCACCTAAGACAACGACTGCCATGCCATAAGTGTTCAGTAAATATTCATCGAAAGAATGAATAACTTTATGAATGATTTAATGTTAATTGATGAAATATTTAACCTGACAGTATGCCAAAATGGCGTCTCAAAATGCCATTTCTTCCACACATACACCATTAATGTTAATGCCAACTACATCATCAGTATTGTTTCTTTTCGCCAACAAACAAAGCCCATAATTAAAAGACAATCAAGGGCTTCCCTGGTGGCGCAGTGGTTGAGAGTCCGCCTGCCGATGCAGGGGACACGGGTTTGTGCCCCGGTCTGGGAAGATCCCACATGTCGCGGAGCGGCTGGGCCCGTGAGCCATGGCCGCTGGGCCAGCGCGTCCGGAGCCTGTGCTCCGCAACGGGAGAGGCCACAACGGTGGGAGGCCTGCGTACCACAAAAAATAAATAAATAAAAGACAATCAAGACATGGTCCCCGAACTTCAAGGAACAGAATAAAGGCATCTATTACTTTGTAATTTTATTAGCGCAACCTCTGGGAAAAACTCCTAGAAGGGGAATTGCTGGACGTGTGGTCTTCCTAAATATTGCCAAATAGTGTGGGTGAGGGTCTTTTTCTTTTGCAAACATGTATGTTCTTTGAGGAGACAGCTAGGAATATAAGAATAAATCTTTTATAAGGAGTGAAAAGTAGATCTCAACAATAACCCTCAAGGAACCCAGTAGTACCCCCTACTTCCCATCCTGTAGCTGAATTAATATTCCACAAAATGCTGCTCTTTTAGTAAAAAAATTGGGGGGGAATACAAATATTATTACAGAATTGCTTTTCTTCCTTTCAACAAGTGGTGGAAGAATAAACCAAAATCATTTTTAAATGGTTGTCTACAGAGGAAAGAGAAAGCAAGTTGGAAAGGACAGGCATGCAAGTTAGACTCCTCAGAATATATCTTGTTTCATAGTTTCTACTTTGAAGACATGTTTTAAAGTCAAATTAACATCAAACGATAATGACATTTTGAACATCAAAATGATAACGATTACCACTGACTGAAACATTAAGTGTATTTTTTAAAAAATCCATCATCTTTGGTTGTCACTAGAGCAAGAACTAATTATCCTGAAAATTGATTATAGAAAAGAATCAAGTATTTATCCAGCCTTTCTTATATGAAAGGTACCCCAGAGTAACCAGTCAGTAAGTGAAAGCCCTCTTTTATAGGATTCCAAAAAATAAATGTAGAAGGAATGACAGAATTAGAGAATACCCATTTTGTAATAGTTAATGAAATAATAAATCTAAAAATTGATCAATGGTTGCTAAAACCATTAGATAAAAGGTTGATGGGAAACTTTATAATGGATAATCAGGCTACAAAACCTGAACCCAGTGATTAACTTTAACATCATTAAAAAGGGATCAACTAGAGTTTATGTGCAGAAGTATTCATCACTATTCATTAGGTATTTATCCTGGGAGCTCCAATTTCAAAAGATATCCATAATATGACCACTTTTACCACCTCCACTCTTATGATGGTCCAAGCCACCTTATTTCTCATCTGCATTACTGTAATAGTTCTCCATCTGATCTCCTAGCTTCCTCCCTTGCTCACCTCAACACATCAGTCAGATTAGTCCTTTTCAAAAGAAAATCAGATCATGTCATTCTTCTGCTCAAACCCTCTAATTGAGTACATCTCACCAGTTTCAAAGCCAAAATCCTTACAAAGACCATAAGGACCACGATCTGATTTTACCTTCCCCAACTCTAACCTTATCTCCTACCACTCTCCCTCTTGTTCACTCCATTTTAGGCACATTGACCTCTTTCCTTAAACACATCAAGCATGTTCTCACTTCAGTGCCTCAGGACTTGTACTAATTCCTCCTTCACTTCCTTTAGGACTTGGTTTTTAAAAGTTATCTAATTAAAGAGATACACCCTGGTACCCCAGGCAAGCCCAAAATATCTGCCTCAGATTTCCTCATCTGGCAGAGAATATGTAAGGATAAGTCAGTCATAAATTTTGGAGATGATAATCATTTGAAACACAAATGTAATCAATTTTTGTATCTTTGTATCTAAACATCTATGAAGTTATACTGTCCCTTCTAAAAGATTCTTATGGTCCAAACTTCAAAGAATTAATAGCTACCATAGTGTGCGTGGCTTTTTTTTTTTTTTCAGTTTTTGTTTTGTTTTTAAATCATCTGTATCATAACCCTAGAAAGAAGTGATGAAAGATTTGAATTATATGAGTCCCATTAAAAAACAACTAGCAAAATAAATGGCATTCCCTTTCCTCCCACTCCTTTAGGGATTTGTTTGAGATTACATTATAAAATTCCAAGTAATCTCAGGAAAAGTTTAACTACTTCCACATTTATCTATTACCTTTTAGGCACCATGACCACCAGAAAAAAATCAAAAGAACTCACTAACTGTAACATGACTAGACTAGCTATGACATGGTAGGGATGTTTGAACTTAATTATTTTTTTTAAATAAACGAACTCCTCCTGGGCTAAGGCCTACGCTGCCTTTTAAACATCCTGCGTGTGGTGGCCAAGCTTCAGGGTCTTAAGAGAAATAGCCAGGGGACAGAGAAAACAGCAAGTATGACTCAGTGATCATATTTAATAGTCTCTGAAGACCAAAACAAAGATACCAGTTCTGGCAAGAGTTCTCTAGAATTGCCCCAAAACTGACTTATCCACATACCTTTCATCTGAACAATCTATTTTCACTTAGTTTAAGGCTCACAAAGCATTTGTTACGTGCCTATCAGACCTTACGTACAAAAATAAACCAGAAGTATTATGAAAACAATCAGCTGGGGTTCTAAGAGTTAGATGATGAATCTAATGTTAAAATCTGCTTTTTGGGGGAGGAACGTGAAGAGAACTCTTGAATATTGTTGTGCAGAAATGCCCCCATTCATCTGGAAACCAGACTTTCAGCAAGTTCAACCACTTGAAAAAAGGCTAGTGATATTAAAGCAACCTTTTACCGAGCAACTTCTATGTGCCAGAAATTTACATTAGCTTGCTTAATTCTCAGAGCTTCCCTATGGGAAAGGTATTAACAAAACAGAGTCGTTAAATAACTTGTCCAAACCAGAAAAAGACAGCTCCAAAATGCAAAATCTCAGTCTTCCTTTTTCACTGTTATAATCTGCAGTAAACTGGAATAAAACTATTAGTCACAAATACCACATTTGCCCCACAGGAGTAACATGTAAATCCAGGCTGCTCATTTGAGAAATTTGTTCCATTCTTCCACAGCTGTTTTAAATAAGAGGACAAAAGAGGAAGGTTCACTGTTGTACATTAATAAGAAACATGTAGCATTAGGGATGAATCAGAAGAATATGCTACATTTAGCTCTAAGGGAACTGAGTAAGAGTAAGTGAGGCACAGCATAGCTCACTAATTAGTATTCATTCATAATGATTAACCTGACTCAACTCTAAGTGACTGATGGCTATTCCATATGTGCTGAGAAGTCAGGGAAGAAATGTTAAGACTTAATACAGTGGATAACAGATATTTACCAAAATAATTTCTGTAGTTTTCTGGATGTCTGAAATACTTCTCTCTCTTTCTCTCCTGATGTATAGATATACACATACACATACATACATTAAAGTTTTTCATTAACTTCTTAAAATTTACAATAAAATTATGTTATAATTCCTAATTTTCCTTTTCCGGAAAATTCTCTCATGTGGAACATGAGAGAACATAGTTCCTGACACTATGAGATAACACTTATTGGCTTCAGTTCTTTATACTCAACAGAATCTGATTTTTTAACATGTCATTAATCAGAAAATATTTTGTAGGAATATTTTCTTTCTAAACTGTACATTTGTTACTAGATGCACCCACTGCTTATCGTACAATGAAAGTAACATACCTATTCCGAAATAAAAAATCAAGGTGATTACCTAACTATCAAGACGCATTACCCTGGGACTTCCCTGGTGGTCCAGTGGGTAAGACTCCGTGCTCCCAATGCAGGGGGCCCAGGTTCAATCCCTGGTCGGGGATCTGGATCCCGCATGCATGCCACAACTAAGTGTCCATATGCTGCAACTAAAGATCCCACATGCCACAACTAAAGATCCCCCATGCTGCAGTGAAGATCCCACGTGCCACAACTAAGACCCGGCACAGCCTAAATAATTTTTTTTTTTAAAAAGACACATTACCCAGGAACTGTGGCCTTACTATACTAATGTCCTCAGTTATTTGGAGAAAGTGAAGACTGCTTGGAACAAATTATCCCTATTGACTAAAAGACACGCCATTTAAATAATTTACTGCTTTACACAGAGCAGACACTCAACAGATTCATGATTATAAGTTCCCCAAAGACCTAAATACATTATGCTAGTCTTCTAAATACTTGA